AGATCCTGGCAGTTGGTAGAAACATTAAGAACCTTTACATTCTAGATAAGGACTCCTTTCTTCATAGAACCATACAAAAATACAACCCTATACAGTGTAATGCATCTGTGCTTGCTTCCTCAGTTTCTTTACCCTTCAGCATTTGTAATAACCAGACTGAGACTGCTGCTCTATGGCACAAAAAGCTTAGCCATGTTTCTGAAAATGTTTTACAGCATTCTATATTAGGTACACAATGTAATAAAGGGGTTTTTAATCATTGTGAGCTTTATCAAAATAACACAGACTACCTTTTCAAAGAAGTCATATCCAATCTAATATGTCTTTTGAACTTTTACATATTGATTTATGGGGACCCTATAAAAAGGCCTCTATTTGTGGAGCACATTACTTTCTAACTCTAGTTGATGACTACACAAGAGCCACTTGGACTTTTTTGCTAAAACACAAGACACAGGTTATGCACATTATGAAATTCTTTTACAAAATGATCAAAAATCAGTTTGGGAACAATATTAATAGCATTAGAACTGATAATGGATCAGAATTCCTGAGTCATGATTTTCAGAATTTTTTGGTTATCAATGGGATTCTACATCAAAAATCATGTGTGTACACCCCACAACAAAATGGGGTTGTCGAAAGAAAGCACAAGCACTTGCTTCAAGTGGCTAGGAGTCTTATGTTTGAATCACATTTACCTACTTATTTTTGGGGGGAATCTATTTTAATGGCAACATATATTATAAATAGGCTTCCTTCCAAAATGTTAAAATGGAAAACACCTTTTGAATTGTTGCACAGTAAGTCCCCTACATACCATCATATTAGAACTTTTGGTTGTTTATGTTATGCCACAAACACTTTTCCTTCAAAGCATAAGTTTTCTCCTAGAAGTTTTAAATGTGTTCTCCTAGGTTTCAGTTCGGGACAAAAGGGGTACAAGGTGTTTGATATTAATAACAGACGGATTCTTGTGTCTAGGGATGTGATTTTTCATAAAAACATATTTCCATATAATAGTGAATGCAAATATGAGCTTGTTACACCTCTACCTATACCTGCAGCAGAGCATGAGTCTAATGAAAATGCATTACGTGAAAATCATTACCAGCCACCTTATACTGAACACCCCATTGATGAACCATCAGTTGCCAGGAATAACCATGGTCTTACCCCTGAGACAAGTGATGATAATAATACTCAAGNAAATTTCCAGCCAGCTATTCAACCTGTAACAACCCTACTTTCTTCCCAGTCCAGCCCAAGTATTTTCCCCTCTCATATTACACAGAGTTTTGGTTCAAATTACAATGGTTTCTTTGCTAATGTTAACACTATTCATGAGCCTACCTCTTATAGGGAAGCTAGTGCTAGAGCTGAATGGATTGAAGCAATGAATGCTGAATTTGATGCACTTGAGAAAAACAATACTTGGGATCTTGTTTCACTAACCCCGGACAGGAAACCAATTGGCTCTAAATNNNGACAGGAAACCAATTGGCTCTAAATGGGTGTTTAAGGTGAAGCTGAAGGCAGATGGGACTCTGGATAGGTGCAAGGCTAGGTTGGTAGCCAAGGGGTACCATCAAGTTGAAGGGGTTGATTACTTTGAGAGCTTTTCACCTGTTGCAAAACATGTTACAATCCGGATTTTTCTGGCTGTTGCTACTGCGAAATTGTGGCCCATTTTCCAGCTTGACATTAATAATGCCTTTTTACATGGGTTCCTAGAGGATGAAGTGTTTATGTGGCCACCGGAAGGATACACTAAAGCAAAGAAGGGGCAGATTTGCAGGCTTAAAAGGTCACTTTATGGGCTTAAACAAGCCAGCAGACAGTGGAACACAGAATTAAGCAAGCATCTTGAAAATTATGGTTTTCATCAGTCTACACATGATCATTGTTTGTATATTCTGACTAAGGGTAATTCTTTTGTGGCAGTCCTTGTATATGTAGATGATCTGCTTGTGACAGGAAATGATGAAACAGAAATTCAGAACCTCAAGGCATCTTTACACTCAACTTTCACTATTAAAGATCTGGGTATTGCAAAATATTTTCTTGGTATAGAAATAGAAAGAACAGAGGC